CATACGTTGCCGTGGCGGAGCCTTGCGGGGGCGTGCGACCTAAGAAAGAAATGCAGAAGATTGTGTGGGGCTTACCGGGTAGTGCGGTGGCCGCAGAGTGGGGCTGCCGCTTCTGCTCTTGCAGAGGGGAATATGCTGCCGCACTCTTTTTGTTGGCTGCGTCGGGGGCAAATGTGCCGGCGTCTGACAATCTGTGTGGGTTCCACCGCCACGACGACTGAAGGAGGCGGAGACGTCTGCAGGGTGCCCTCGCAGGCTGCGCCCTGTGCGGCCTAGTCGTGTGGCAAACAGTTTACATCGCGGAATTCACGTGCACCGCACCACGTGCTGGGCGCAGCGTAAATTTGCGTCGCGGGGGACAATGCGGTGGCGTCAATTCTCCTTTTCACGGGGAACAGGCGGCGGGTGTTCTGCCTCTTTGCACCTCAGCGAATTGCAGCGCAAAATGCCACCGCGACGAGGCAGTCAATTTCACTGTGAGTGGGTGATATTTGCGTGTGACTACGCACACACAGAGCTGTGGGGATCCGAATGTGAAGTGCAATACGAGAAGAAGATAGAAGCCTCGTCGCAGTTGTTGTGTGTGCCGTGCAATTTGCACGGTTTGCCTGGGGAGATCTAATTTGCCCTCGTTGTTTGTGTGGGTGTGCGCCGCGTGCCGTGTGTGGGTGGCCCTCTCTTTTTTTTGTTGTTGCGGCTGCGTGGGGTCGTGTCTCTGCCTGTTTTTTTTTAAATAATTTTATTCTCCCTTTTGACTGCTGGTTGAGTATTGTGCTGCAGTTCAACTCAAGTTAACCACTACGAAGGAAAACATGTCTGAGAGACGCAAGGAAGAATCTCACGCCACCGAGGAGCCCCCGTACAGCGTGGAAGGGTGGAGGGAGCGCCGCAGCGGCCAAGGAGGACGCTATCGAGCTCTATCGAGGATGTCCTTAATGTGCGGGTTGGTCAAAGCAACGGAATTTTGCTGAACGACTTCCTTCGGCAGTACATTGGCCCCGACAGAGCGGTGGGTGAAGACCAGAATGTGTGGATGGAGGTGTTTCTGCAGCAGCCCGCAGAATACGTTACAGACCAGAGGCTTCTTCGAGAAATTCTCAATTCCACCAGGGTATCAGCTTTTTGAAGATGCACGCATGCTTGCAGAGAAAGGTGTGTTTTCTCTCAATCAATGGAAGGAATTTGGACAGAAAAATACGGTTCCCCTTCGTACAAAAGGCAGACTCGATGCAGCTCTTCAGCAGGCGGAGGATGCAGAGAAAGAAAGGTGGGAAAACGAAAAACCTCCCAGACAACCATTACCGGAGGGATTCTACGAGTCCGTGTTTAACGCAACGTGGAGTCACGTCATGGGGTTTCCTGAGGACGAAGGGGAAGACATGGTGGTGAGAGAGGGCCAACGGCCGCAAGAGTTATGGGAGTACACGCAGACTGTGCGTACTTTTTTCTCAGTGGGTGGTGATGAGCAATTCCGTCCACCATGCCCAAAACACATGATCCTTTCCTCTGAACAGCGATGGCCGTACTTGCTGAACCATGCAGTGCCTATTGCCGACTGCTACATTAACATTGAGGTGCATCGAGTGTGGAAGATCGTCGAGGGCGATCTAAAAGGAGTGTTTCCCCCCTCACGTCTAAACGCACCTAAAATGAGACGTCGTCTTTTGATTGGAACCCCCGGGGTAGGGGAGTCAATGGCGGCTGGCTCCTACCTCCTTTATCAGCTGCTGCAACACGGCGCCACAGAGCTCCATGTGGTTGTGCACTGCTTTGGAAGGAATTTCGCATACTTGTTTAACAAGAGGACACGAACGGTGACAATATACGAGGGTGAGAATAATATTGGAAGGGTTATGGTAAATTTGGCTAGGAGTGGAATGAAGGGGTATATCATCATCGATATGGCAATACATTTTCGAGAACCATCGAATGATGTTGTGCTCTCCCATGAGTGGGGCATCATTATGTTGTCGTCCCCGCACGAAGATAACCTGAAAGCATGGACGGAGCAGGCGGGTGCTATCAAAATCATCATGAATTGCCCTGATGAAAACGACGTGAAGGCGATATGTGCGTGGGAGATGCGCAATACGACTGAAGAGGAGCAGGTGGAGTATTGGAGAAGGATGCACATGCGCATGGATGACGTCGGACCGATTCCACGATGCATCTTTCAATTCAATGAATATGAGGATCGCGTGGAGGAAATCAAGGACATCCTGGAAGGTATCGACGCTTCAAATGCTGTACATTATGGGATGGTTGGAGGTGTGGAAGAGTGGCCCTCGAATGACGCACCTCACAAACTTATGAAAGTTGTCAGAGCAATAAGACAACGCGATGTTGAGGAGTTTGTTAACCTGCCGGCCTGTTTTTCCATTGAAAGCGAATTAATTGCAAAGTTGCTCGAAGTGAGTGAGGAGAATGGCATTATTTTTCGACTATTGAAGTACCGGAGAGTGTTGTTGCCGGAACTTTTGGAGCGGTACACTCTGCTCGCATTCCTGCGTAGAGTCTTTGTGGAAAATATAATGCCGGGCCTCAACGAGTTGCCTCCACCAGGAAGTCGTCAGCAACAGAGATGTGTGCAGCAATCGAACCCCGAAAAGCATCCAAGCAGACCTGTTGCATTAATAGCGCTGGACCACACTTCTCCGATGTTGGATGTACAATACAAGGTGCTATACCTACCGGAGAGCAGAACTTTTCCGTTTGTGGACGGTTTTTTTGTTCGTTGGCGCACCGCGGAGGACGATGGTTGCGGTGCACGTGAGACGGTGAGGGCTGAGCATGGCACCCAAGCCAGCACGGTGAGGCGGTTCAACAGTCTTCTACGCAGTTATTTTAATAACTGGGAAACTTTTGCGGAAGGCTTGTCGTGGGAGATTATTTACGTGCAGCATGAGGACAGTACGTCAATAAACGCGTGGCAGGGATGTGTTCTCGTCGTGCACGCAAATGTAACGGGCAGCAATGAGCGTGAGGACCCTCGGGCCATCGCGGCATTTTGGAATCAGCAGGTGCGTCAGTGCGAGGTAGCCGTATCAGCTGAAAATTTCAGAAGTGAACGACAAACCCAACGTGGGCGGCAACCAGAGGGAGAAGGAAAAGGAGGAGGGGAACAAGCAGCTTGAGTTTACTGGTGAAGTATTTTAGGGAGTATGATATATTGCCGAGTGTGTTTGTGTGTGGGTAGGAGGCGTACTTAGGGACTCGCTCTGCCGTGCGCCAAATGATTATTGCGGCCAGCACTACCACAGCAGCACCTTTTTTTTTGTTGTGGTTGCGAGTAAAATTGTGTGGGGAATGATGGCGCCTTGTGGGTGTACGCCGGCAGTATTCGATTGGTGATGTCTCCTCGCTGTGCCCAGTTTGTTGCTGCAGAGAGTTTGGGCGAGAGGGTAAGTTTTGCAT